AAATCAGGCTGCCCCAGGCTTTGGGGTGGGAGGGAAATTGGGGCAGTGTCTTCAGTCAGGGACCACGTTAGTGAGGGTTCCCCCCCCATAGTTCTCACTTTTGTGTGGCCCCCAATTGATTTTTCTATGGGTCAGTGGTCCCCACTCAAAAAAGGTTCCCACCCCTGACATAAGAATAACAACTTGCTAGGGCACCAAAATCTGCTGCTTCAAATACAATTATCTGTGGAAAAGATATGTAAAAATATAGAGGAAGGGCTTGTAACATTGCATATTATTCTAGTTGCCCAGCTGTTTCCCTTATAAGACTGTATGTGCATTTACAAGTTCTGCCATTTGGGCTGAACTTTTCCACGAAGAGCATCTTCTTCAGCTTGACTTGTGGAAAATTTAAGCCGAAACACTTATTTCTCAGAATGAGGCTTATAAATCAAAGTTGTTTGAGCCATGTTGTTTCTGAAATGTTCCAAAATTCTGCCACGGTGATGGGATTGGGAGCTGAAGGAGGCTAAACTGGGAATGATAGGTAGTCAGTAGAAGCTGGAAGAGGCAGGAGGAAAAGCAGAAGGCTACTGACAAAAAATAAGGCTCTGATGGAAATTGGATCTAGGACCCAATGTATAGTAGGAGGTGGGTGAAAATGGGGGTGAAGAAAGATCTGAGAAAGCACTAGGGTGCAGGAGAATACTGGGACTTGCCAGGGAAGCACTGAGACTGGGATGAGACTCCTAAAGAGCAGAGACTAGAAAAAGGAGTCAGCAGTGGAGCAGAAAGAGGTAAATTTGGGGTAAAAAATTCTGTACCCACTAGACCCGATTTCTCTCGGCGTCTAGGATAGAAGTCAAGATTTCTGGATCTCACTCACGATTCCTTGCTGTCAACAAATATCTGAAACTCACTGGCAAAGTGTATCTTTCACTCTAGTGCAGGTCCACAGAAAAGAGGACAGCCTATTAATTGCTGTCACTTACTATGTCTGTATAATGGACATAATGGGTTCTCTCTAAGGATGTTAAGGACTAGTCCAGTCAACTAGTCGATTCCTCCCCCTGTTGCTGCTTCTATCAGACAGAGGCAGCAAAGAGGGGGTACTTCAAAGCAGCAGCACTGCACGAACCATGTTCCCGGGCTCCATGCAGAGCTGCTGCTTTGAAACACCATTGAAACAGCTAAGCTCGGGCTCTGTGCAGCACTGCCCCTTTGAAATGCTGCTGCAGTGTTTCAAAGAGGCAATACCACATGGAGCCCAAGGTCAGCTCCGTATGGCGCTGCCCCTTTGAAACTCCGAGGCAGTGTGTCAGAGGGGCAGCACTGCACAGCTGATCCCCGGCTCAGCTCCCAGGTGCTATGTTTCAAAGGGTCAGCTGGGGACTCCCCAGCTGATCCCAGGCTCCATTTCCGCAGAACCCAGGATCAGCAGAACTCAGGAGTCCCCAGCTGACAACAGATTCCAGGGAAATGCCACGTGGAACTCCGGGTCAGCTGGGGAGTCCCAGCAGATCCTGGGTTCTGCAGAAATGCTGTGCGAAACCCAGGACCCTAGACTCTGCATGGCATTTCAAAGCAGCACAGCCGCATAAAGCCTAGGTCAGTGTGGGACTCTGAGGCTATGTCTACACTACAGGGTTTTTCTGGGATACCAGAGGTCCCAGAAAAAACTCCACTGTGTCCAGGAAATGTGTGTGCTCTTCCATGTTTTTTGCAAAAGAGCAAACATGCTCTTTTGGAAGCTCTGTCTTCCTCCTCCAAGGAAGAAGGGCTCTTCTGAAAGAGAAGGCTTTTTTGAAATTTGGCCCAGTGTAGACGGGCCAAATTTCCCAAAAGCCTCTTCCGCAAAAACTATCGGAAAAAGGTACGCAAATTGCAGGGCACAGTTTGCATACCTTTTTCTGATACATCAGTATAGTGTAGACATAGTTTGAGTCCCCTGCTGGCTCCAGGCTCCATGAGGGCACTTCTGCCCCTGCTGGGGACTCTTGTACATTTCAAAGCTACCACATACAGCCTGGAGCCAGCTTTTGTCATTTCAAAGAAGGAATGTGGAAATGCCTATCCAGTAGTCAACAGAAATTCCATCGACTACTAGACTAGTAAATTAATCAATATTTAATATCCTTAATTCCCAACCTGTGGTCCGCAGACCCCTGGTGGTCAGGATGATACTATAGGGGATCTGCGGAAAGTTTAATATAGAAATTAAAATAAATGTACAGTATATAAAAACCACACATGTATTTTAATAAATATTTGTAGATTGTGTAATTATTAAATATTAAGTTCTGTGATCATGTTACATGAATACATCATAAACTAGAAAATTACACACACACAAAATATGTTAAAAGATTATTAAGATTGCAAAGTCAAAGACTCACAAGTTAGGAAACACCAGAATTCAGGTTGCCTGAGTTCAGCCTCATTATGCATGCGCATTAAGATATAGTCTTTAATTACATGATCACACTATTTCTTTCCACAGGATCTCTACCCTGTTCAGTGCAGTGGAAGGACAGTTCTATAGAGGCAACCTTAATCATGTAATTTCCTAAGTCTTTGAGTGCTTGACTTGGCAAACTGAAGTCTGTTTTTAATTATTTTTGTGTATAATAGTATTTATCAACTAATACACAGAAATTTCAATTCAAGAGGTGATTGTTTGAATCCGTACTACAGAATACTGTCTTTTTTTTTAAAGACGACATGCCTTTTCTCTGAGTTTTCTAAAGCACCAAGCACACTAGAAGGAATTCTGCTGTTCTCTGGAGGTCAAAGGAAAGTTTGCTTGCATAAGGAGAACTGGATAGAACTTTGTGCCAGTATTTCACAGCTTGTAAAAGTTTTCCAGACTGTTAAAGCTCTTCTTTTTCACTACTCTTCTTTTGAAAAGAGGCAAGGATGTTTAGGCTTTTCTGAAGCTCCTCCTTCTTCCCATCACTCATTTTGTTCTTCTCAAGCAATTTTGTAATCCGGACAACTTCATTAGCAGCAAACTCCTCTCCTTGCTCCAGGATTTTACTCATGATTTTCAAGTACTGTTCAGCCCGTTTTTTCTCTGTTTCCTTGGCTTTTGCTAAGCTCTCCTGCCCTTGTTTGAGAAGAGCTTGACGCTCTGACTCTTTAGTGGTGCCCACAAATTTACCTGCCAGGATGTCATATTCTTGTAGGCAGCCTGGCATCCCCAGATAGATGCCTTTACTCTTCAGCCAACGCTGAATAGAACTGGCTTTTATTTGGCCACTATAAAGTAAGGGATTGTCAAAGTCCCCATCCTGGAACAAGTAAAAAATAGGATAGTTGTCCTTATCCAATTTATATTTCTCACCCAGCTCTGTATTCAGTTTATCACCATAATCTGAGAACAGAAATGAAATATGAAAAGGATCAGTGCATTAATCATAGAAAAATCAATAAGTAGGATCCTTTCCTTTCCAAAGCAGTTAATGTTTGTTTGTAATTACAACTCTACAAGCACCCTCTCTCTAAGAATTGCCCTAAGATGAAACAGCCCAAAAGTCTAGCAAATCCACTAGTTTGCTTGCAAGAGTAACCTCTGTTGACTGCTTCAGGGGAAGATGCAAATCCCACAATTTATAAATCCCCCATATTTAACTTTGCTTTACTCCATCACTGATTTTGACTCTTAGACTTGGGGTAGGATGTAATGACTCTTTCCTGATCCACTCAGATTGCCTTGTAGCCTGAAGTATAGAGACTGATAATATCCATTGAAATTTTGGGCCTAGCAGATGTTCCTGCAGGCAGTTTTCTTCTTGAGAATATGCTAGATTGCAAACAAATTAGTAAAATGACATCTGAAACAACATAAATCACATGTGAATTCCTGAAGTTAGAATACAAATATAGATATTTCTGATATTCTACTAAGATATAAAGTGTTTACTTTTAGATAGACTTCGGTGTCTAGTACCATATGCAGCAGGGAACTCTGTAGCGATTTAAATCCCATTTATCTATATAATAGGCAACTGCAAGGGTAATGGCAATTCAGTCTTCTCTGCTTATACAAGCCTTAGCTGAAACACTATCCCAGAGGATACCACTGCCAGTCTGATGGCAGACCTATGAAACTGTGTTCTCACCCACAATTATTTCCAATTTGGGGACAACTTATACCTCCAGATCAGCGGCACAGCCATGAGTACCCACATGGCCCCACAGTAAGTTAACATATTTATGCCTGACTTAGAACAATGTTTCCTCAGATCCCATCCCCTTTTACACATCTCTGTTACTTAACTCTTCTACTACAAGTACCAATTAGTGCCAGCTGTGGTGTGGCAATATCAATCGTAATGTTGTCAGCAAGGAATGACAAAGCTCTCTAAAGTGAGGGGTTTGGAACGGGTCCCATATGAGGAGAGATTAAAGAGATGGGGACTTTCCAGCTTGGAAAAGAGGAGACTAAGGTGGGGATATGATAGAGGTCTATAAAATCATGAGTGGTGTGGAGAAAGTGAATAAGGAAAAGTTATTTACTTGTTCCCATAATATAAGAACTAGGGCCACAAAATGAAACTAATAGGCAGCAGGTTTAAAACAAATAAAAGGAAGTTATTCTTCACACAGCGCATAGTCAATCTGTGGAACTCCTTGCCTTAGGAGGTTGTGAAGGCCAGAACTATAACAGGGTTTAAAAGAGAACTAGATAAATTCATGGAGGTTAAGTCCATAAATGGCTCTTAGCCAGTATGGGTAAGAAATGGTGTTCCTAGCCTCTGAATGTCAGAGGGTGGAGATGGATGGCAGGAAAGAGATCATTTGATTATTACCTGTTTGATTCACTCCCTCTGGGACACCTGGTACTGGCCACTATCGGCAGACAGGATACTGGGCTAGATGGACCTTTGGTCTGACCCAGTACAGCCGTTCTTATGTTCTTATAAAATGGGGTGTTAACACTTCTTAGCTAGGGATGTAAGCAACTAGTGACTATTGCGCCTCTCCCTTTGAAATGTACAAGAGCTACAGGCAGCTCGTATACATTTCTAAGGAAGAGATGCAGGGAGGAATCCATGTGAGCAGGGACCAAAGGAGTCCCCACTCACGCAGTTTACCAGTTGCATCTCTTCATGTAGAAAGGTGTAGCAGTTGGGATCCCATGTGAGCTGGGACTGCTTCGGTCCCCTGTCACACAGATTCGCCGCTGCGCCTCTTCCATTGAAATGAACAAGAGCCACAGGCTCGATTCATTGAGTAATCGAAATTTAACAACGCTATTCTTTGTTGGGAGCAAAATTATTGCTGAAGCAGTTCTCATAAGGCATATTCCATAAACGTGGGCTAAGAGGCTAAGAAAAGGCCCAATATCCTTTTCAGCTTGCAGCAAATAAACTTTTAATTTCATAATTGTTGAGAGACTGCACCAACTAGCCCACCAGAGTTAGGTATATTCAGCACTTCTGCTCCCACCTCACATGAGGCTGTAAGGGTAGTCACCTCTACTACTAACCAGGGTAGAGGGGCATTCGGTTTATTAACCACTAAAAATGAACTTGTCAGTTGTTTACTCTTCAATCCCTCCACCAAAGTTATGCCAGGCCATCTTAATTCCTCTGTGACCTCTCAACATGCCACCTGTACCAAAACTCTGCTAGAGAAGAGAGCTGGGTGACTTTATAGTACTTAAGAGGTCTGTTTGTGCCAGTGTTTTATTTGTTCCCCCACAAATGATATATTAGTCTGTTTACAGCTCACCTGATATTCCCACTTCAGCTATGAGCAGGTCTTTGCTGGAAGCTGAGCTTTCTGCCAGTTTTTTAAATTCATCTTGCTTCTCACCGTAAGGATATTGGGTGTCAAATTTCACCAGGACATACTTATTCTTTGGAATTACCTGGCCCAAGAAAAAAAAAACCAAAAAGATTAATGGAGGAATTATTGAATACAGGCAGTCCCTGGGTTACGTACAAGATAGGGACTGTAGGTTTGTTCTTAAGTTGAATCTGTATGTAAGTCGGAACTGGTACATATTGTAGGGGAAACTCTAGCCAAACATTTCTCCAGAGCTCAGTTTTATTCTCCCACACCTCACTTCCCTCAGTCCTTTATTCTCAAGCTGAGGTGTCTGCTGAGAAAAGCCGCTCCGCGTCTCCCTGGTCTGCTGGGGAGAAGCAGCTAGTGCGGGGTTGCCTCACCCCGTTTGTAAGTAGGGATCTGATGTAAGTCGGATCCATGTAACCCGGGGACTGCCTGTACATCATAAACATGAAGTTTACCAGTACACAATAATTTGTTGGTCAGTTTTCATTATTCCTGTGAAATGACTATTTGAGTATGAGGCACCATGGGCAAAATGATCAAACATTATGACTATAAGTGTCAAAGGAAGAAGTGGATGGACTGTGCATGCATTCCTGTATTAGCTGAAGGAATTCTAAATTGTATACTTTTGTATTTTATTAAAATGGCTAATTATACCCCCAAAAGATTTTATTTTCATTTTGCTTACCTAATGTAAAATTCTGATTGACATAATTGGCGAAATTCTGACTTGGAGATCAGTATCAGCCCCAGCTGACTTCAGTGGGACATCTCAATTGAGTATGCAAGTAGGGTTTTAGGCCAAATAAAACGCTACTTTAAAGTCAATCAGCAATAGGACTAACAGTATTTTAAATAAGTGTGAAATTTGGAAGTGAAATAAAGTGTGTTGCTCAGCAAATAGGAGCATCTTACATTGTTAATGTTAAGGTATTTGGAAAACAAATTATGCCATCATTTGTGCTATTGGTTTTTAGTTCCACTTTGGACAGTGAAATTGATCTTGTCAGATTGGCACCGAACACATTGGCTCTTTGAGGTGAGCTTAGACATGGATGTGTATTTGCTTTCAATCAAAACTTATATTAGAGGGGTAGCCTTGTTCGTCTATAAGGTGCCACAGGACTTCTCTTTGTTTATGCAAATCCAGACTAACAGATTTATTGGAGTATAAGCTTTCGTGGGCAAAGACCCAATTTGTGACATGCATCTGACGAAGTGGTTCTTTGCCCACAAAAGCTTATGCTCCAATAAATCTGTTAGTCTATAAGATGCCACAGGACTTCTCATTGTTTAATCAAAACTTGGTTTGTATCTATATCTGACGTGTTTTGGCCCTTTCTAAGTGGGAAGATGGTACAGCAAATTCTTCCTAGGAATGGTGTGAGATTACCATAGCTGCTTCCCCTACACATGTAAAGGCCATCCCAGTCATTTTTTAAGCCTTCATAGTAACATATGCAACACCTGAAACAAAGTGTTTAGTTTTGGTCCTCCTAATCAGTGTAGTCAGCATTTCCTGCCATCTCCTCAGTATGGCTGAAATTGCAAATACTATACAGGCAGTCCCCGGGTTACATGGATCCGACTTACCCCATTTGTAATTAGGGATCCGATGTGAGGCAAGCCCGCACTAGCTGCTTCCCCCCAGCAGACCAGGGAGACGCGAAGCTAGCGCCCCTCCCCAGCAGACCAGGGAGACACGGAGCAGCTTTTCTCAGCAGACACCTCAGCTTGAGAATAAAGGACTGAGGGAAGTGAGGTGTGGGAGAATAAAACTGAGCTCTGGAGAAATGTTTGGCTAGAGTTTCCCCTACAATATGTACCAGTTCCGACATACATACAAATTCAACTTAAGAACAAACCTACAGTCCCTATCTTGTACATAACCCGGGGACTGCCTGTAGCTTGACTGTGTCAGCCAGTATTTTTAGCTCCATCCCACAATGTGGTGCTTCACGTTTGGAAATAACCCCAATATCCTTGCTTCTAACAAGAGAGCTACATGCTATGGAACAAGTGCTTAAGCAGTCCCAGAATACAAATACACCAAAACTGGACTATCAAAATGGACATTAATTTCAAGTAGAACTGTCAAGAACAGAAAACCTCCAGCCATTTGCGGTCAGTACCTCTACTAGTTACTTGCTATGATGGGTTCTTCCTTAGATGCTATGAGAAACAAGTTCAGTAAATTACTGAGTCAGTGTCATTATTGCATGGACCTACAGTAGGAGCTAGTTTAATTCTGTTTTTCACTCCCAGGGCAACAAAAATGATTAGGGGTTTGGAACGGGTCCCATATGAGGAGAGGCTAAGGAGACTGGGACTTTTCAGTTTAGAAAAGAGGAGACTGAGGGGGGATGTGATAGAGGTCTATAAAATCATGAGTGGTGTGGAGAGGGCTGATAAAGAAAAGTTATTTATTAGTTCCCATAATAGAAGAACTAGAGGACACCAAATGAAATTAATGGGTAGCAGGTTTAAAACTAATAAAAGGAAGTTCTTCTTCACACAGCGTGTTGTCAACCTGTGGAACTCCTTGCCAGAGGAGGCTGTGAAGGCTAGGACTGTAATAGAGTTTAAAGAGAAGCTGGATAAATTCATGGAGGTTAGGTCCATAAAAGGGTATTAGCCAGGGGATAAAGTGGTGTCCTTGGCCTCTGTCTGTCAGAGGCTGGAGAGGGATGGCAGGAGACAAATCGCTTGATCATTGTCTTCGGTCCACCCTCTCTGGGGCACCTGGTGCTGGCCACTGTCGGTAGACAGGCTACTGGGCTAGATGGACCTTTGGTCTGACCCAGTACGGCCGTTCTTATGTTATGTTCTTATGTTCACTTGCAATATGGAAATTTCAGTTCCAGTTCAATTTCCCTTCCCTTCTGAAATCTGGTTTTTGTGATTAAACATTGTCTTACAAATGCTAACAATCTATGTCTTTAAATAAGAAAAGTACAAATGAAGTGGGGGGAAAAATCAGGAAAGTATTTCCATTTCTCCTGGGGTCTGAAAAATCCTTTCTTGCAACCTAAATTTGGTGTGTAAGCTACTTGCCTTTTCTTGGTTGGAAAAATTGTTTTTTTTACTGATCTGTCCAGTGAACTCAGGGGCACAGTTCACTTCAGTGTAACTGATTGCATACCCTGTGCACAGGGTAAGACATACCAGATAAGAGTCAGAGGCTCACTTAGTCCCCCTGTTGCATACCCGCACAGAAGTGGGTGTTTCTGGATTTTCTTGCTTGTGGCAACGTCGCCCATGCGCTTTAAATGTTAGGATCCTGGCTGGAGCTGGATACTGAATGCTCTCCTCAGACGTGCTTAGTGTAGGCTAGGCAGAGGTGCCCCGCACTGCATTAGTGAAAGGCGGGTGCTGCCCTAGCAAGACAGTAGTAGTCTTTGGATGGAAGGAAATCTGACCGATGCATGCGCTATTTAGCTGCTGAGGACAGCGAGGGGTGCAGTAGCAGAGCTTCTCCGAAGTGCCCAGGATCCCGCCTGCCCTCCCGAGACCGATGCCCCTCTTCCCCAGGTGACCACGCTGCACAGCAGCCTGGGCAAAAACGTATTGAGACACTTGGATGCCGGTGATTGGCTAGCTACTGGGGCCGCTTCTCTTCCGCCTTTCCCCATTGGCTACCTTAGTCCAGGAGCACACGCTTGAGCCATGCAACTGTAGCTACCATCCTGCGGCTTCTGGAAATGGCCCTTGTGCCTGTGGAGGAGGCAGGCGCGCTGGCCGCGAGCCGAGACCCAGGGTTCCGATAGCACACGCCTAGCGCTCTGCTCCAGCTATTTTACCCGCAAGTGCCCGAGCTTCCCGGCCTCAGCGGCGATAAGGGTTCGTGCTGTGAAGTCTCCCGCTCGCCCTTCCCAAAAATCCTCCCCCAAAAGCTCAGCCCCCAGAACCGCAAGTGCCCGAGCTTCCCGGCCTCAGCGGCGATAAGGGTTCGTGCTGTGAAGTCTCCCGCTCGCCCTTCCCAAAAATCCTCCCCCAAAAGCTCAGCCCCCAGAACACGCTCTTATTGCAGCCGCTCGACAGCTGCGCCGGCGCTGGGAGGGCATT